ACCCTCTCTAGGGACAGTGGCAGCAGATACAGCCAGGTAGCACTTTGCTAACATGGCAACATAAGGATATTTGGCGTTTGTAATAGCTTTGGCTCGGTCTGAACTCTTTGCGAGTGGTGGAGGCTTACATGCTAGTGGGAGTTGGGTTTGCACTTCAGTCTTTTTTCTTTTGGTACCGGTAATATTCACGTTCGGGTGATGCCTTTTCAAATGAGTGTGATGTATTGCCAGCCGCGTAACCAATGTTAGTTGAACAATGCCAACAAACAGCTTTGGTTCGGTCCACCTGTCTTTGTCCGTCATCCTTGTACGTAACTGCGAAACCAAAATGTTCCCAAACCGGAGACTTCAATGATGCCGGAGGATTTTCGAGCTCAACTTTATCTGCGTTCGCCATTTCGACAGTTCCTCAAATTACTGACTACATTTGAACGCATCCCTGTGACCAGCTCTCATAGTATGCCTCTCGTCCAATGAAATGACTTGGTCGCTCTATGATATAGATTACTTCCAGAAAGTTGTTCATGTTCTCAATTTTTTACGTTTAACGCTATATTCATTCGGTACACACGTGTACCGAACCGAAGGGCCCGTACCGAATAATTTCAGTACGGGTACGTGTACCGTTACACCCCTAATTGATTGATATGATTGCGATTTAAATCAGCATATACTTCTGTCAGGGGATGCCACCCCTCAAAATCTCCTGCCACCCTCTTGCCACCCCATGAATATTTGTCTAGATCCGCCCCTGCCAATGCATATATGTGGTATTTTAGAGTTGACTATATTGATTAAGGCAATCGACTATGATATTCTGTATGCACCTCGTGTGAAATGGTTGATACCGGAAGTACGGTGTCGCCCTCGGCCCAAAACCCGTATGTGTGTGTGAAAGAATGGATCTTAACAAATATCCGATCAGATACCTGTAGATCTATCAGCTGTTTATTTCACATGAGTTCCAGTGTGGCAGCTTTTCACGGCTCCCCCTGATGGATCCATGATCCATTGCAGCTGGTTTCATTAAAATTACATTATTTATCAAGGGGGCGTATCAAGTCCTGCGGGGGGGTTTTCCTTTTCAGCAGGGGCCCACCCCGTGCAGATCACGGACCCGCACGGGTAGGCGTCTGAAATGAAGCGCTACATCCGTATAATGTGTCAGATTAGCACCAATACAAACACTCGTAACATTTATGTAAAAGCATTTTTTGTGATCCTGTAAGTATTTTACTGAATAGTTGTTCACTACAAAACTCTAAACACTTACCTAATATCTTTAGGTCGAATTAAACACTTTCAGAAACATGTGAAGATATAATTTACTATAAATGATGTTGCGTCCAACCCATGTGATTACAATTTAAAATGAATGTCTCTTGAATACTTTTAGGGGATAAATATCTAATAAAACCATGTTGCTAAAAACTGTATTACTTGCACACTGTTCAAAGCTATAGGTACCCCCCAGGATGCTGTAAATGAAGACAGTCTCAGTAAATGGGATTGTGGTCAGTTCAGTGACATGGAGGTACCAGACCAGCTGCGCCTGATCATCGAGGACCAAGAGAAGTACAGAAAGGCTGTGAGGATGATCAACAGTGTGTCGGAAAATAAAGTTTGGTTCTGCCCCGTCTGGGTTAGAGTATTAATTTACATTATTGGCATCATACTTTTTTTGTTGCTGGCTATACTTAATATATTTTCAGTGATTACATTTGGAAAAGTCGTTTCAAAGGTACTCAGAGAGTCTGTTGTTGCATATGTGTTCTTAAATGCTAGCTTTTTCTTGGTTCCATTGGGATTGTTTATTCATATCTGTCTCTGGATGAATGATGATGAAAAGTACATAGTGAGGGAAATGAAAAAAGCTATTGGCCAGGCAAACATCATCCTCTCTGAGGAGAAAGTGCTAATGGGCCGTCGGTCCAACTCAAGAATCTCTCTGGTGTATGTTTCTCTGGACCGTTGCAAACATGAGTTTTCAGAAACGTGTTCTGATCAGGTTTGTGCTGAAGATTTGTATCAAAGAGCTCTGCTGTACTTCTCATCCGGTTACGCCTGCTGCCTTGCTAAAAGACACTTCCCCTTTCCTCAGCCCAGCTCCACCGGTCACCTGGAGGGAGGGGTGTGTTTCTGTCAGTATGTGTCCCAGCAGCTGAGTGTGGACCAATGGGAGTAGCAGTGTCCACATGTGTGACCTAACTATTTAATAATAACTGGATCATCATGAAATGTCTGCATTATTATAAGCCACTTAGTCCCACTGAAGGCACAGCGACTTTATTCATGTTAGCCCTCAGATATCAGAATGAGTCACAAACCGGAAAGCAGAACTGTGAGCAGGATGTTTATCATCTCTTACTTCCTGACTTTACTTTCAGTTCTTTGCCATCCGCACCATGCGATCACTCTTCATTGTAATTGCTGGAATTAATGTTGTCTAAAACAGGTACGAACATGCTTTGTTTTGCGAATATTGTTGTTATTGTGTGAATTTTGTTCTGATACGTAAACGGAGCTTCATCTTTCCTTTGTTTTTAGAAATATCAATCGAGGTATGAAAGCTTCTGTGTCCTCAAGCTATCTTTTGGGTGAATCACCTTCCTGATTGACTTGTTCTTCTGTTATTTCCAATGTGTATGTTTCTTTATATCTTGAATGTTTAAAACTCTGAGAAACTCTGTAAGTAATCTTGTTTAATTAATGGTTTTTATACAAATAGGCTAATTATGATGGAAGCAGCAGAGAGCTTCTTGAATACGGACTGTTATGCAGTGAGTGACTGTAGAAGAAAGCTTTAAAATGTGGGATTTTGTATTACTTAAAATCAACTGAAAATCCTCGCCTTCTACTTTTTACAGTGTATTGTGTAATTTGTAATCATAATACTAACAGAACTGAACTTTTCTGCAAACCTAAACCTGTTTGAGAGCCTTTTATTTTACATTACATGTGGGAGTAGGATGAACTTCTACATGTGTTGACATTGACTTTATTTTCAAACATTGGATCCGAACCAATTAAAAATGTACTACTCAAGGTTGAAAAAAATTAACATATTATCGTTTGCTTTCACTGTGGATTAAAAAAAAATATGACTTACTTTTCATTATTCTGAGTTTAATGAGAATTATGTGCTTTTCTAAGCTGGGCGCTTTTGGGGAATTGAAAACTTTAAAAAAATTCCTTTTCTAGAAGTATGTTGACAGAGCATCTCATTAGCCTTGTTGATAAAAAATAAAATATGTGTTTTATTTCTTCTGAAGGTATTATTAGTAAGTAAATGTGTGGCATCTATGTTCAGCCAATATCACACTCCAAAACACAGAGTTCGGAAAACAACAATACAATTATTTAAAGACAACTTAAATCACTGAACTTCATTCACTGAGTCTCAGTGGGACTTTCAAAGGTGGTTTAACTCTTGGAGATATATTATCATAAAAAACAAATGGCTAGAATTGTTGAAAAAATCATGCCTATATCTCTAAATCATATTTTCTTTTTACTTTAGTTTTTTTTGTATAGATAATGGAGCCAATTAATTCAATTGAGACTGCAGACATTGAGCCACTGTCTCCCTCTGTTCCTGTTCCTCCCGCCCTGAGAGATGGAGAGTGTTACCATGTCTTCATTAGCTACAGCAGCACTGACTACCAGTGGACCCACTGCCTCATCGACCAGCTGGAGGCCTGCGGCCTGCAGGTCTGCTACCATGATCGAGACTTCCTTCCCGGCCGCACCGTGTTGGAAAACATGTCCGACTGCATCCAGGAGAGCCAGAAGGTCCTGCTGGTTCTCAGCCCAGAGTTTGTGAGGAGCCGCTGGTGTCTGCTGGAGGCCAACATGTCTTTGTTCAGAGACTGCCTGGAGAGGAAGCCCATCGTCCCAGTGCTGCTGGAGCCAGGAGTCTCCGTTCCTCTCCACCTCTGCCACCTCACCTACCTGGAGGCCAGCGACCCCGACTTCAAGAATAAGCTGCTCAAGGTGCTCTGCACCCCCAACCAGCAGCTTCAAGGGTCCACTGTGCTGCCCTTCCATCCTCCCTCCATCTACAACGGGAAGGCCCTGCAGCCGTTGGATGCTGTGAATGAAGAGAGTCTCAGTAAATGGGATTGTGGTCAGTTCAGTGACATGGAGGTACCAGACCAGCTGCGCCTGATCATCGAGAACCAAGAGAAGTACAGAAAGGCTGTGAGGATACTCAACAGTGTGTCGGAAAATAAAGTTTGGTTCCGCCCCGTCTGGGTTAGAGTATTAATTTACATTATTGGCATAATATCTTTTTTCTTGGTGACTATATTTCATATATTTTTAACGATTACATTTCCAGAAGTCTTTATATACAGACCTGTTGTAGAATGTGTGTTCTTAAATGCTAGCCTGTACTTGGTTCCATTGGGATTGATTATTCATATCTGTCTCTGGATGAATGATGATGAAAAGTACATAGTGAGGGAAATGAAAAAAGCTATTGGCCAGGCAAACATCATCCTCTCTGAGGAGAAAGTGTTAATGGGCCGTCGGTCCAACTCAAGAATCTCTCTGGTGTATGTTTCTCTGAACGGTTGCAAACATGAGTTTTCAGAAACGTGTTCTGATCAGGTTTGTGCTGAAGATTTGTATCAAAGAGCTCTGCTGTACTTCTCATCAGGTTACGCCTGCTGCCTTGCTAAAAGACACTTCCCCTTTCCTCAGCCCAGCTCCACCGGTCACCTGGAGGGAGGGGTGTGTTTCTGTCAGTATGTGTCCCAGCAGCTGAGTGTGGACCAATGGGAGTAGCAGTGTCCACATGTGTGACCTAATTATTTAATAATAACTGGATCATCATGAAATGTCTGCATTATTATAAGCCACTTAGTCCCACTGAAGGCACAGCGACTTTATTCATGTTAGCCCTCAGATATCAGAATGAGTCACAAACCGGAAAGCAGAACTGTGAGCAGGATGTTTATCATCTCTTACTTCCTGACTTTACTTTCAGTTCTTTGCCATCCGCACCATGCGATCACTCTTCATTGTAATTGCTGGAATTAATGTTGTCTAAAACAGGTACGAACATGCTTTGTTTTGCGAATATTGTTGTTATTGTGTGAATTTTGTTCTGATACGTAAACGGAGCTTCATCATTCCTTTGTTTTTAGAAATATCAATCGAGGTATGAAAGCTTCTGTGTCCTCAAGCTATCTTTTGGGTGAATCACCTTCCTGATTGACTTGTTCTTCTGTTATTTCCAATGTGTATGTTTCTTTATATCTTGAATGTTTAAAACTCTGAGAAACTCTGTAAGTAATCTTGTTTAATTAATGGTTTTTATACAAATAGGCTAATTATGATGGAAGCAGCAGAGAGCTTCTTGAATACGGACTGTTATGCAGTGAGTGACTGTAGAAGAAAGCTTTAAAATGTGGGATTTTGTATTACTTAAAATCAACTGAAAATCCTTGCCTTCTACTTTTTACAGTGTATTGTGTAATTTGTAATCATATTACTAACAGAACTGAACTTTTCTGCAAACCTAAACCTGTTTGAGAGCCTTTTATTTTACATTACATGTGGGAGTAGGATGAACTTCTACATGTGTTGACATTGACTTTATTTTCAAACATTGGATCCGAACCAATTAAAAATGTACTACTCAAGGTTGAAAAAAATTAACATATTATCGTTTGCTTTCACTGTGGATTAAAAAAAAATATGACTTACTTTTCATTATTCTGAGTTTAATGAGAATTATGTGCTTTTCTAAGCTGGGCGCTTTTGGGTGATTGAAAACTTTAAAAAAATTCCTTTTCTAGAAGTATGCTGACAGATCATCTCATTAGCCTTGTTGATAAAAAATAAAATATGTGTTTTATTTCTTCTGAAGGTATTATTAGTAAGTAAATGTGTGGCATCTATGTTCAGCCAATATCACACTCCAAAACACAGAGTTCGGAAAACAACAATACAATTATTTAAAGACAACTTAAATCACTGAACTTAATTCACTGAGTCTCAGTGGGACTTTCAAAGGTGGTTTAACTCTTGGAGATATATTATCATAAAAAACAAATGGCTAGAATTGTTGAAAAAATCATGCCTATATCTCTAAATCATATTTTCTTTTTACTTTAGTTTTTTTTGTATAGATAATGGAGCCAATTAATTCAATTGAGACTGCAGACATTCAGCCACTGTCTCCCTCTGTTCCTGTTCCTCCCACCCTGAGAGATGGAGAGTGTTACCATGTCTTCATTAGCTACAGCAGCACTGACTACCAGTGGACCCACTGCCTCATCGACCAGCTGGAGGCCTGCGGCCTGCAGGTCTGCTACCATGATCGAGACTTCCTTCCCGGCCGCACCGTGTTGGAAAACATGTCCGACTGCATCCAGGAGAGCCAGAAGGTCCTGCTGGTTCTCAGCCCAGAGTTTGTGAGGAGCCGCTGGTGTCTCCTGGAGGCCAACATGTCTTTGTTCAGAGACTGCCTGGAGAGGAAGCCCATCGTCCCAGTGCTGCTGGAGCCAGGAGTCTCCGTTCCTCTCCACCTCTGCCACCTCACCTACCTGGAGGCCAGCGACCCCGACTTCAAGAATAAGCTGCTCAAGGTGCTCTGCACCCCCAACCAGCAGCTTCAAGGGTCCACTGTGCTGCCCTTCCATCCTCCCTCCATCTACAACGGGAAGGCCCTGCAGCCGTTGGATGCTGTGAATGAAGACAGTCTCAGTAAATGGGATTGTGGTCAGTTCAGTGACATGGAGGTACCAGACCAGCTGCGCCTGATCATCGAGGACCAAGAGAAGTACAGAAAGGCTGTGAGGATGATCAACAGTGTGTCGGAAAATAAAGTTTGGTTCCGCCCCGTCTGGGTTAGAGTATTAATTTACATTATTGGCATCATACTTTTTTTGTTGCTGGCTATACTTAATATATTTTCAGTGATTACATTTGGAAAAGTCGTTTCAAAGGTACTCAGAGAGTCTGTTGTTGCATATGTGTTCTTAAATGCTAGCTTTTTCTTGGTTCCATTGGGATTGTTTATTCATATCTGTCTCTGGAAGAATGATGATGAAAAGTACATAGTGAGGGAAATGAAAAAAGCTATTGGCCAGACAAACATCATCCTCTCTGAGGAGAAAGTGCTAATGGGCCGTCGGTCCAACTCAAGAATCTCTCTGGTGTATGTTTCTCTGGACCGCTGCAAACATGAGTTTTCAGAAACGTGTTCTGATCAGGTTTGTGCTGAAGATTTGTATCAAAAAGCTCTGCTGTACTTCTCATCAGGTTACGCCTGCTGCCTTGCTAAAAGACACTTCCCCTTTCCTCAGCCCAGCTCCACCGGTCACCTGGAGGGAGGGGTGTGTTTCTGTCAGTATGTGTCCCAGCAGCTGAGTGTGGACCAATGGGAGTAGCAGTGTCCACAGATCCCAACATGTTATAGAGATTACAAAGCATAAAATTCCCTTTTTGTTGCAAAATGTGTTATCATTTAGTTCCCTTTAATATTAAATGCAGAACAACGCTATATATGTAGGTGACACAAGTGTATATTGATTTTGCAACAGCTTCATATTTTTTTTTATCATTTCACATTTCAAGTGTTAATTAATTCAATAAATGTTTTATATCAAAAGCACAGAGATTATTTCCTTAATTCTATACTATTTTGAAAGAAAAGTTGCTAAAAACACAGAATAATTGAGGGTGCAAGGTCACGGTTGGAGAGCACTCATTATTATATCAAGAAAATAAACACCTGATCCATAACATGTAATATTTTCTAAAGCGAAAACACACATGATGGTGGTACAAAAAATAAACTTAAAATATATTAATTATTGAATCACTCATAAATGCAGAATATATCGTTAACTTCTGTTGATCATCATCAATTAATCATCAAGTCACTATATGACTCAATGTTTATTCATTAAGAATATTAAGTCAAATGTAAGGGAAAGTTGATTTCAGATTGATTGCATTTGTCAACTTCTATGAAAATAGGTAGGCTATACTGTTCAGAATGAGAATAAGCTATTTAATAATAAATGAATGAAAATGTAACTGGTCGTCATATACAAACCAGAGTCCTGCATCGGGTCGGGTACCCGACGGGTGACCCGCAAAAAAGGTGATTCACGGGTGGTATTTTTTCAAACGCTTTTTTCCGGGTTCGGTTCTGGGTAAAACAAAGATGATGCGGGTCGGGTCGCGGGTATTGCATAATAAATATATTAAAATAATAATAAATTAGTTTAATGTTTAAAATCCTCAGACCTCTCCCCCGCGGGACCGCGCATAATCATAACCTCTGCAGCGCATCAATCTGCTGCTGTGCGCGCCACATTCAAAATGACTGAGGTGAAGCTCTCTAGCGGAGAATACAGCATTTTCAATAACACTTCCTCAAGAGCGAAATCCAACGTCTGGGAGGCTTTTTGTGTCATCCTAGATGGAGGAAATAACCAACATCCCACGCTTTCTGAGACAAATATGAAACTGCGTGTGTTAATAATTGCACGTTTTCACTGCTCATAGGCTATGCGGGTTCGGGTCGGGTTGCGGAACTAATTGGCAATATGTGCGGGTAGCGGGGCGGGTTCGGTATTGCACGTCGCGGGTGCGGGGCGGGAGCGGGTCTTGAAAATCAGACCCGTGCAGGACTCTGATACAAACATCTACAGTACATGTTCTTGCATGACCAAACAACAACAAATCTTCAGTTATGTCACGGCTGTTCAAGGAGTGGACCCAAAAGCATGAAGGCAGACACAGGATTCAAGTACAACAATAATCTTTACTTGAAAAGCAGTTTCAGTACAAACATATGAAGAATACCAAATTCACAGGATCAGCAGATCCAGAAAAATACATACAATAAATAATCTACACTAATGCTTACCTAACAAAACACTAGAAAAATACTACTACCTGATCTTACGATAACTAAAGAAGCGGATAATGACTGTAACGATAACTAGATGCAATAGGAAACCGCTGGAGAGCTCGGCATAAGAGACAAGACAATCTGGCAACAGACAAGGGGAGACAGGACAATATATACAAGAGGTAAGTGGGCACAGGTGGAAACAAGCAGGGGCGGGGCAGACACTGACGATGGCGGGAAAACAACCAAGGCAGGAAGTAAAGGAACCTAGAACGAGACAAGGTGAATACAAAATAAAACAGGAAGTGGAACATAAATAACTAAACTAATAAAAAACATTTAACACAGTTGCCGATGCACAACATGATATCACTTGTTTTTTTTCTCAAACTTGTTTTGTGCTATTTAAAAAAAGAAGGAGGAGTAAATCAAACATGGTGCACTAAAACCAAAAATCATCCAGCAGATGAGAATTGCATGAGAACATCAGGTGTATGCTGAATAGAAGCACCCATTGTCTGTATATGTACAGAATGTCAGATATGTTTATGTATGATGTGATATGTAAATGTAAAATTATTGTAAGATGCATCAAGTGTTCATCACAACTTTAATCGGCCCTATCCTTCTTTTTGGGTTTCTCCCTTTCCTGTAGTAGTGTGTTATTTGTGTGCATGTAAATGGTCTGCAAAGGCTAAACTCCAAAATGTCCCCCCAGCGGGAGTTTCTCTCTCAAACCAAAGAAATAAAGACCATCTTGAACATTAAAGCATGTAAACATGTCACAGTAAAAGCATAAAATACAAATATGAACATGAAAATGAGCATAGTTAATCATTACTCTACATAAGTACAGAGAAACTAGTCCATGCATTTGTTACTTCAAGGCTGGATTATTGTAACTCTTTATTATCAGGGTGTACCAAGAAGTCAGTCAAGTCGCTTCAGCTGATTCAAAATGCTGCAGCTCGTGTACTAACCAGAGTTAGGAAAAGGGACCACATTACTCCTCTTCTGGCTGCCTTACACTGGCTCCCTATAGAACACAGGATATCATTTAAAATTCTTCTTCTCGCCTACAAAGCCCTTAATGGGCAGGCGCCATCTTACCTTAAAGAACTCATTATACCCTACTGTCCTACTAGGGCATTGCGTTCCAAGAATGCAGGGTTGTTGGTTGTTCCTAGAGTCTCTAAAGTACAATGGGAGCCAGAGCCTTTTCTTATCAAGCTCCACATTTGTGGAATCAGCTTCCAGTTTGTGTTCGGGCGGCAGACACCCTATCCGTTTTTAAGAGTGCGCTTAAGACCTTCCTTTTTGATAAAGCTTATAGTTAGGGCTGATTAGATTAAGCCCCTAGTTTTGCTGATATAGGCTTAGTTTGTCTGGGGACATCTTACTTCTTCCTTCTCTCTGTCTATACCTGTGTACTCTCATGTTCCGATTAACCCAGCTTCCCCACATTTCTTTCTTTTTGGTGTCTATATACGCCGGGATCCGGAGTCATGGATGATCCTGCGGTCCTGTGTCCTGCATCGCGAGCCCTGGATCTTGAGTCGTGGCTGTGGTCCTGGATCATAGGTCCTGGATGGATATCCTCGTGGATTCATCTTCCTATTATACACACATGCATTTCCAAACATTTGGACTACCTATGTTGCAAATGTATTATCTTTTCAATTTACACACGGCATCTATTGCACGTCTGTCCGTCCTGGGAGAGGGATCCCTCCTCTGTTGCTCTCCCTGAGGTTTCTCCCATGTTGCCCTTTAAACTGTGGGTTTTCTTCGGAAGTGTTTCCTTGTACGATGTGAGGGTCTAAGGACAGAGGGTGTCGTATTGTCATACTGATATTCTGTACACACTGTGAAGTCCACTGAGACAAATGTAACATTTGTGATATTGGGCTATATAAATAAACATTGATTGATTGATAAGTTGTACTTACTTGATTTATGTCGCCTCAAGTAAGTCGTGATTCTCATTTGAAAATAATTACTGTACAGATATAATACCGCAGTGGATAATGTCTTGTGATTAAAACATTATGCATAACTTAATCATATGTTTATTATAAAGGGTTGCCATCATATGTCACACAGAGAATCATCAAACATTTTTTAATTGTCTTTTAGAGAAATGAAAGATGCCAAATTGAATTAATTTTTAAAGTTTATTAACATAATTCACTCAGTTGCCTCTGGGTTTGCTTTCAGCAAGAAATAGTGGATGAGTGTGGTGTCTAGACATCTATGTTAAGTTAATTTATTTAGTTCAGTCCTTTTGTCTTTTGCTTTGTCTTGTGAATTCCTGTTCTATTTTGTAGTAACCTTTCCCTCTCGTTTCAGAGCCCTTCCTGCCCTTGTGTGTTTTCCCTCCAGTGTGATTGTCAGCCCCTCCCTTAATTGTTGCCACCTGTGTCCCCTTACCTAGTGTGTATATAGTCTGCGTCTCCCTTTGTCCTGTGCCAGTTCGTCTTGTCTCGCCAAGTCTGCCAGTCATTCCTTGACCTTGCTAAGTATATTTTTGATAGACTCCTTATGTTTCATTCTTGATAGTCCATGTAGATGTTTTATTTAGAGTTTTTGGATCTTATAGTTTCTCAGTTTTGATCCTCCTAGTGAGCGTTTTGTGTTTTTGCCTTTTATTAAATACCTTGTTAATCCTGACCTGTTTCTGGTGTCGTGCGTTTGGGTCCTGAGCCTTGTGACATTCATAACAATGAGTGCATAGTCCTCATTAAAAACAGTTTTCTTTACTGCGTCAAAGGCATCATAAATCAAACTATATAATGTTTTAATATAAGTCATGTATGGGGCTTGAGACAGCCTGAGGTAAAAGATGCTCTTATCTGTTATTCTTTTGACGAAATATTGTTGACCTTTCCAAGTGATGCCACCTTATCAGAAGCAAAGACTTGTTTGAGATGTGAGCGCCGCCATATAACAACGAAGAAGGATCAATATTTGTTGTCCTTTACGACATTCGGTGACGGGATTCAGGATATGAGACAAGATGGATGACACTGTTGTTTGAGAGGTCTGTAGCAACACATCCTAACAAACAGTAAAAAGACACAATACAAGGATTGCATGTCAGTGGGGTGATGCCTGGGTCACAGTGAGTACGTTCAATACCCACTGTGCCTGATGAGAAATGTCCTCTTACTGCTGCAGTTCAATTAAAACTGAATCATGATAAATAAGCTGTACATGCCTCAGCTTTAAAACAAATTGCCTTGCTGCCATGTTCTCATGTTGTGCACGCATGTTGAAAGTGTGGTGTGGCAGGATAATTGCTCGCCGAAGCGGCAGGCATGACGAGAACAATCTCATCCTCAGCAATGACTTTCATGCTGATTAAGCTCAATCATCTCCGCTTCTGTTGAACCTTTTTTTTTTCCTTCCACAAAACAGCGTGTATATGCGCCCATGTGTATGTACATGTGTGCTTGTTGGTCCTATGAGTTATTTTTTGATCCAGCTATGTCTGTATTCAACTTGCTGTCAATGTAAATGCTTCTGTTCTCATGCCCTGGGGGCTGAAAATTGTATAGTTTTCTTAATGAGTTCTCAAAACCGCCTCACACAAGCTTCTGTTACATTATGGCATGTTTTGAATTTCAATGGAGTTAATTAAAACATTCCTCTGCTGCGAGGTGTGGTAT